AATTATGACAAAAAATATATGATTATTTTCCAAACATTTTGTTTATTAACAACTTACAATTATGAGAAAAAATATTTTGAAAAACGTTAATATTATAGTTTTGAAATAACGATAATGTTTATCTTTAGACGGACCACCCCGTATATTATATGTTTTACACGTGACTCATCGCCTCTGCGCCGTCAAATTCCAAATGGTCGAGCAGTCAAAGGCCCGCGAAAACGTTTTTTATTCCCCTTATTATTATTATTTATATTCCTACGCCTTCCGCTCGTCCGTTTCCTGCTCCGACAGCGCCACGACCAGTGTTGAGCCCAGATAACAAAAATAATATCTAGATAAGATAAAGATAATTTCGTAAACAATTATCTAGATTTAGATTCAGATGATCATTTTTACTTTTATCTAGATTAAGATAAATATACATATTTTTTATCTAGATATCATAATAGATATTTTTATTTTTTGTTTAAAATGCGCAAAAAATAAATATATTAATTCTTAATTATTTTAGACAAATTCTTTTAGTATTTTACTATTTTATGACCATGCATTTTAATAAACAACATTTTTCTATGCAATTCCTTATTTAATTGTTAAACAATGATTTATTTCTGTCTACCTACTTTTTTACTTCAACTCAAACTGAACATGGAAATGTTACACTATTACGTAATAATAATATTATTTAACTTTATATAAATAAACAAGAACGATATTATTTCATTGAAACCATTTCTAGTAATCAACATTACACGAGAAACGTAATAATAAATAACAAAGAACAAAACACATTCGTATGAATATTATACTATTATAATATTATTATTGTCAATAAAATTACTGCTAAGAAAAAAATTAATATATTCACGATTATTTTCAGAAATAGTGTAATAATATTTTCAATTTTGTTTGATCAATGACAAGATAAAATAAAAAAATTAAAAGTACCAAACTACCAACAAATCAATCGAAACTAAAAATTATTTATTTATCTAGGTATATTTATCTAGATAGGTATACAGTTTATCTTAGATGACAATCAGATACCTAATATTTTATTTATCTAGATGAGATAAAGATGCTGTAGTTTTATCTAGATACATTATCTAGATACATTTATCTAGATACTGCTCAACACTGGCCACGACCGCGGGAGGGTCGTTATGATATTATTCGCAGCGGAGTTAAGCTTGTTTCATCGCTCGCGGTTTTCCTCGACAACTAATTAAAGCGACCGCCGACGTGTACACGCCGTGTCCCTGCCCACGCGACCTTACTGCAGTCAACGGCTCTCTCATTTTGTCGTCAACCACTGTTTTTGTCTGTGTCGCATGTCGTATGTACGACGTGCCTATACAGTGGTCGTCCGACGAAATTTACGATAGGGCGGAAGTAAAAAAATGAAATACAATTTCACGATCGGAAAGAGTACGCCTCGGACGTAATAATATTATTATTATTATTGTTTGTTTATTACACTTTGTAATATGTCACTTTCGTTAATATGTCTCCAGAATACCACCACTTTATGTGATGGGGGGGGGGGGGGTGGGGAATACGTAAATCCCTTAATTTATCAAAAGTGGATACGGCTCTCTCAACAGGTAAAATGCTGATAAATTATAAACTATAGTATAAATTCGACGTGGTACATAACTCTGACATTTGCCTTTGAATATCTATCGCTTAAGTCCAATTTCAAGTATTTATAAACTATATAATATAACAATAATAATATTTATTTATTCAAATATGTTTATATACATATACAATAGAAATGTTATGGTTTATAAGTTGATACCTATATATTGCATCAATTAAAATTATATTCATTGTTCCTATTATTGTTAAATATTTTACTACCTAAGTAAAACGTTTTGAGAGGGTGGGGGATTTTCCACTTTTCCCCTCACAGTGAGCAATGTCGTTTTCTTTTTTTTGATCCTTTCAAAATTCATGTCTACTCTACAGATGGAGCGTCACATATTAAATGTCACAATTTAATGTAGGTATACTAACTCACATATTACATTTTAAAATTTTTTTTTTATTTTTTTTTTCAAGAATATAATGGGCCCCAATAAATTTGACATTTTAGTTTCTATACTCTATTCCAAATAAGATCGGGAGTCGGCGGCTGAGTTGTGCGACTGTGGCTTTGTTCCGTGGCAGCACCTGACGTGGGGACAGCATCTGGCCAATTTGCCATATGTCTGACCGCCGCCCGACGAAAAATGGTGGCCGCCGACTCCCGATCTTATTTTGAATAGAGTATATACATTTAAATTGTTGTGAAAATGAAAACCTTCGAGGCATATGTTCTCGGAAACTACTGAACCGATCGTTATGATTTTTTTTTTTAAATTGAAGAGCTCATTGCAGTGGATAAGGTTTATGGCATTTGATCGATTCTCTAACTTAATAAACAAAGGAGTTATCAATTATTATAAATAATGGCCTCCTATGGTTGCAATTACGTATATACGGAGGCCCGCGGGTTTCCAGCTACCTGAAACCTATCCTTTTTGTCCAAAGGTCAACGATAAGAATTGTTTCGAGAAGTTTATCGATAAAAATAATCTCATGCATCGAGCTTACACCAATATTCCAATACGCTTTATTAGTGATAACGTTTTATCAGGGAGTTTCTACATATGCCGGATCCAAACATAGTATTGTCCCTATGCTAAATGCACGGAAAAATTTTTTAGCTATTTATTTTTATTAAATGTACTTATATTTAACATGATTTTTTGATATATTTAGATACATTATGATACAAATATTTGTAATAATACATTTAAAGTTTAAATAAGGAGACAGAATTTAAATAAATTTAAAAATTAATTTTGGCGCCAAAATCTTTGTACAGCAATAATAATAATAATAAAAATATCCTTTTTTATTTTACTCTTTGTTCTTATTTGCCTGATTTATTGTTGATTATTTTTTTAAATATGATAAATAAATAGTTGGGAGTTTTAAAAAATATTCTATTTTTTTTTTTAGCAATTATTTATTTTTTTTATTCACCATAATGTCTGCAAATAGTGCTATTAGTATGTTTGCGATATTTGATTATTTTAAATCAAATCCCAAACAACTAAAAAAGGGAGAACTTTCATTTAACGCTGGATACATTTGTAAAATAGTATACGACTCAGCCAATGGATTGATACAAGGTGAAGTAAAAGCAAGTATGAAATCAATCCAGTATAAAGTGAAAGTATGCAATATATTGTATTAATTATTATTAGGGCTCAGGACTTCTAGGAGTGCATGTTTTTAACTAATCATTAAAATCATAGCTAAGTAATACAGACATATGTTTCATGGCAATACAAGTTTAAATTTAAAATTTATAGTTGCATATTTTACATATTTGACCATTTTTTATTTTATAATAGCATATTTGACAATTATTTATGTGAATAAGTTTTTAATTCCCAACTTAAGAAAATATCTAATAGTTCAATGTAATACTCAAAGTAATTAGTACTAGGTATTTTAAAAATATACAAATATATTCAACTTGTTGTTTTTTAAAAAAATTTTATAATGTTTGTATTACATTTAAACAAGCTGAAAATATGAAAATAATTATCTCAGATAATTAATCAAATTTATCTATTTATGTATCGTATCCACAAATAGTATTATTATTTACTACAAATATTACTTTTTTTTAAATGCATATTTTAATAGCATATCAAGTGAATCTTTAGGGCATAAATGCATGCATATTTTAAGGTTTTTTAGGGCATGAAGTCCCTAGCCCTAATTATTATTATAGAACTTCTAAATTTTAATCATAGAAAACATTCTCTCATAGATATTTCTCAATGATGGAGTTATATGTGACAGTACGTGTACATGTCCTAGAGGATTGGTGATTTGTCATCATATGGCAGCTTTATGTTTGTTTGCTCATCATAATTGTAGTTCTACAGATAGTATTTGCTCTTGGAATGTGAGAAATAGTAATCTTGAAAATACTAAAACTATTAGTGATTTATATCCTGCTTGTTCATATAAAGCTACAATTTCTTTACCAAACAAAAACCAAAATAACTTTAAAAAAGCTTTAGAACAGTTAGGTACACCAATAGGTATGTCCTGGCTATTAAAACCTGAACCCAATGTTGAAGTGTTATTTCAACAATCACCAGTTGTATTAATTAATGATATAATTATATCAGATGAGTATAAATCATCAACAACAAAAACACAGCTTCTAGAAAATAAATTAAGTGTGTCTGATGAAATTATTTTAGAAGTAGCACAAGAAACAATTGGTCAGTCCAAAAACATTAAATGGATTACATATAAAAAGCACAGACTTACTTCAAGCATGTATGGAAATATACTTGCAGCATGCCATAAGAAAAAATATAATCCATCACTGTTTAAATCACTGAACAATGAATATATCACTACTGGTGTGCATGCTATTGAGTGGGGGCTTAATAATGAAGATGCAGCATTAAGTTTTCTCCAGAAAACTGAAAATGTGTTGATTCAAAAAACTGGATTATGGTTACATAAATGTGGATATCTTGGTGCATCCCCAGATGGACTTATAGGAGAAAATTGTGTAGTTGAGGTAAAATGCCCCTATAAATTTAGAAATAGTTTGCTATCAGAAGAAATAAGTAAAGACAAAACTTACATAATTTATAAAGAACATAATCAAATTCATGTAAACCAGAAACATAATTACTGGCACCAAGTTCAAGCACAACTATACTTTACCAGAAGACAAAAATGTATTTTTGTAGTTTGGACACCAAGAGAATCAATCATAGTTCATATATTTAAAGATAACCAATGGCAAAACAATATTGAAATACTTCAAAAGTTTTACTTTGAACAATATATTCCATACATTATATCAAATAAAATAATATAGCTTTATTCAAAATATTTTTTACAAATACCTAATTTTATACATTAAATAGTTCCTTCAGTTAATACTTTTAATTATTAAAAAAATAAATTTACATTTTATTTTGTATTTCTTTAATTAGTGGATACTGAAAATTAGTGAGCGATGCTACAACTTTAAAAACATAGTCAGCTTGGGATAACAGAGATGTAGGTATATGATCTAAAATTCTGTAACATTTTATTCTTTGAATAGCTCTCTCTACATGGATTCTAGCTTTAGCAATAGTTTCGGTAAGTAAAACTTGTTCTGGTGTGAACTGTGGAGTGTCCAGAAATGGAGGTATATTCAAGTATACATTTGGAGGTAAAATATCACGAATTAAAAATCCCTTGTCTGCGAGTATTAAATCACCTGGTTCCAATTGAGATAAAACACCACTTTTCAGTGTTATTGTTTTATCTGAAGTGGAACCTGGAAAAAAATCGCTTACAAATGTAACAACACCATTTGGTGCCACACCAATTAAGGTTTTCAATGTATGATAGTGTTTATAGCTACTAAAAGTGGCTTTTTGTGTAACCATAGACACTCTAGTAGTATCAGTTTTAATTTCTGTACAATCAAGAATAATTCTACAGTTAGTAAATGTGCTGAAGGAATTTGGTAGACATAGCTTATTTTTATTTTTTGATGGAATTTTAGACATAAATACTAAGAAAATGTTTTCATACAGAATATGGATCCAAGTCATAAAAATGTTTGTTATGGTTGCCTGACTACATTTAAATCGTTGGCCAAGATCTACATGTGGCAAATTAAGTCTTAGTTTCATTAAGGTAATCAACAATTGATCATGCATAGAAATATTTTCAACTTTCCATTTTAAATAATAATTTATCTCAATATTTTCACATATTACCATCAGTAAATCAAAGATTTTAGAATTGGGTAACCCAGTATATAACTTAATTAATTCATCATTACTTGAAATCAGTTCATAAGATAAGCACTCAGAAATTGAGGACATTTTTAATTTTAACTGTTCATTTTCTTTTCTTAGCAACAAAATTTCAGCTTCTAAGCATTTGTTGGTTTGACTAGACCTACAAATAGTAAGTATTTAACTTGTTAAACACAAAACATTTATTTATGCATAGTAATGGGTATCATACATTATAGATATAATATTTTATTAGACCAGTCCAAAAAAATAAACAATTTTGCTTTGATTCCAATCATTAGTGTTTGAAATATTAATTTATATTAGGTATTTGATATTTTGATATTTATTTAAAATTTAAATATAGGTATTTCAAAGGATTATAACTTGATAAAATATGTATATTGTATAGGTAATATACAATTTTGCTAATTAATTTAATAAATGGTCTTATAATATAATATTATATTTAGTATTTGTATTTATACATAAACATAATAGTTACTAACTGGAGGAGTTGATTCTTTAAATCAAGTATGTTTAATTCAACAATTTCTGATGATGGTGTTTGGGTAATTGTGCTACAAGTGCTAGTGCTAGTGCTAGTGCTAGGTCCATTGTCATCAGAATGGCAAGCAATTTTGGTTCTTTTTCTTTTTTCTGGTGATTGAAAATTAGAAAATGCATTTTTCCTATGATCTAATATTTCAGGACCATTTTTTTTGTCTCCATTTCTGAAATGACAACTACAGATTCTAGCACCAGGTCCAGGTTCAACATCTCTTCTGTACACAAATAATTTTGTTGTTTATATACCTAATACTTATATACCTACTTGAAACTACTGAAAATTTACTACTTTACTACTTTGTTATAAAATATAAATGTTAACAAGAATTTTATAAAATATAAAATAAAGTTTTATACTTCACTAATTTAATCCATCTACGCCTCTCTTTAGTTTCAACAGGAAATTTAAAGAAACTACATTTGTGTTTTTGGTTATTATGAGTACAATTAAATGCCCAACACAGCATGACTAATGGTCAATTTTATTTAAAATAGTAATCACTAATAATACTATGTAAAGGTGCAACAAATAATTGCCTAATTTCATTTAACGTGCTCAAACTTTTTGTCCGGCTATAATATTATAATAATACTATAATATTATAATTATAACAAGGTTAGGTTAAATTATAACAGGGATGTATGTATAATATTTCCCGCCAAATTTGTTTTTCTGATTTATTTAAATTTCTGTACATATTTTAGAGAATCCAATATTTTAGATTTTTTATAATGACCTAATTTAACGTTTTTGACTAAGATACATAACTAAATCAAAATAGTTTTATTTAAAAAAAAATGTTTAGTTATAGACCCATGTATTAGATATAGGGACTTCGATTTGTTTGGATCCGGCTTATCTATAATCTCCTTGGATGACGTCACACTAATAAAGCATATTATATTTTAAACGATAAAATGCACACCGATAACATAAACTTTTCACAAAACTAGGTACAATTAGCCGGTTTGTCCATAAAAATAAATAAAATAACCCTCCAAAATATATTAAATACTCCTAGAAATCCGGGATGATCAACTATGACTTCAATACTATTTTAGGTACACTGTATACAATTTTTTTTTCAACTATAAAGCTGTACTAATATAGGCTACCTATATTTTATCTCCCTCCTTAATGTGTCCGCAATCTACCTCAGGTAGATTGCCTACCTGATAATATACTGTTCGCATTACCGTATGAGAAACTCACGCTGGATGGCTAAAAATTAAAATTTAATGTGATTTTGCTTCCATACTTAGCAGAGCGAATTACACCCAAAAGGAGTTAATTAATCACAATTTTATTTCCCGGGCAACGCCGGGTTATTCAGCTTTATAATATATAAATGAATATTTGTCTGTAGATTTGACCTCTGGGAAGAGATAAGCTAATTTTAAAAGGGTTAAAATTGTTTTTTTTAATCATCGGATTTTAATACGGTTAGTTTAGGATTTTGTATTAATTGATTATATTTCATCCACCGAAGGTGGAATTAAGTAATAACGACAAACTTTTTATAACTTTGATACTTTAGAGTTAAATTATACACTTACGTACAAACAACATGCGGTTCACGATCTACCGCAGGTAGATTCCTTACTTGATAATGTACTGCTGCGAATCAGAATTTTTATTTGGGGCAACAGAAAAGTTAAGACAAATTTTGAACACCATACACCGAATATTAAATAACTAATTGAACAAAGTTCTAGTCACATAGAGTTAGTACATTTAACGGTCAACGAAGAGCACGGGATCGGCTAGTATTATATATTCATAATTTAAAAATAAACCTCTTCTCAAAATACCAAAGTTAGGTCTTGAAACCTTATAAATGCTTATTTTTGATATTTTGTGTTTTGAATTTTGATTGAAATTAAAATGAAATGTTGAATGTCATTTATTCCTCATGGTATTTGCACACGTGTTTACTACTATACTCACTTTAAAATAGTTAAATTTATACAAAATAAATAAATTATGTCATATATTTTGTTTTCGACGCTGCAGTTGAATAGTTTTAGGATATACGGTTATAATGGGAAAAGGAATATAATGGTATAAACGTTTGTCGGATTTCGCACTTCCCACGTGTAGGTAGGTAGGTATGTTGTAATGTAACAATCGTTAACTGAAACTTTGTCGGGCTTTGTCCGTGGCCGGCAACTGCGGTATCAAACTAAACAAAAGCGGAATTCCCAAAATAGAGAGACGACAGTACAAAATGACGGTGTGTGGGAGGACGGGTAGAATGGAGATAACTGTTGTGTGCGGAACTAACTGTACAACAAGCATTGTGGAAACTTTGAACGATACCGCCAAACGCGAGTGTGAAAAACGGTAATTCGACTGTTTTGGCATCGTCGAATAATTTACACGTTTTGGATTCCAACAATAATTATTATTAGCACAATGTACTCGGTACTAACCGATGATTTAAAACAACTGATTATAATATTATAAACGAACAACGCGAGATTCTCAGTAATTGATAACATCTGCGGCATATACTTACGTCATAATATAGGTACATTGGTATAATGGTATGTAATATGGCCGTATAGGTTCGGTCTAATTGGTTTGTTCAAAATGAGATTTGAAAGAATAACACTATACCTATAGGTATTATAATTCATAGGGTGTTACCACTGGGTATCTTCCCTAATCTAACTACTCATATCATATTTTTACCTTTCTTATATCAAACCTACTTATTGTACAAAAAGCATGTATAGATTGTAGATTTCTTCAAATAAATAAAAAAAAAAAAAAAAGGTATTATAATTTATAATACTTAATGTAAAACATTTTTGTTTATTATCGTAGCTGTTGTTTTTTATTAAACAAATAAATCGAGAATTTACAATCTGTAAAATTAAAAACCATAAGTTAATTTGGTGATTATTCAATCAGAAACAATAACAAAAAACTTGATGAAGTGATTACAGGGCGTTTATAGCGACACTTATACTTCGAGGTGTAGAAAGTAAAATTATACTAAACTTAACTAAACTTAACTTATAATTATTATACCTAGTATTTATAAATATTGATATTAGTTATATTTTTTGAGTTATACAACAGGTCGTATAAAGTATGTTGATGGTAAACAGGAGGCAGGTACTGTTGGTTTTTAAGTACCTAAGTATAAGTTTAATAATTTTTTTGTAAAATTAATAATATGTTTTAAATATTTTAGATTTGGAGCGATTAATGAACTAATAATTTTACAATGATGAGTGTTAGTTTTTGTGTCTGTCGTCACCTTTTGGAGCAGCAAGAATGGTTTGATTTTCAATTTTTAGAGTTGTTTTCTGTATCAAATTGGATCTTGAACCTTGATACATTGGAGGGTAAAAACTTAAAAGGAAAAAAAAGAGAAGTAGGTAACTGCTATACAGTAGTTGTCAAGTACTCAAGTCACAAGTGTACCAAAAACGAGTCTACATACCATTTGTTCTATATACCAAAAACGATTATTGCTAAGTACCTATATATTTTACCAATACAATAAGGGGAATTATTAATTTTTGCCGAAAACAAATCATTTATTATTTTATTATTAATATTTAACTATTATAATAGTAGGTATATATTTGTATAATATATTATTGTTATTACTTATTATCTTTTGGTTCAATACCGACTCAACGTAGAACTGAGTTCGTTGTAGGCAAAGGTGGGCATTAACTTGTTAAAAAGTTAAAGTTAAGTTAAAAAGTTAATTTTTTTTTTACTTTTTAACTTAACCAGTTAATTATTTTTGTTTTTAACTTATTAACTTATTCAGTTAAAATGTTTATTGTTGTAACTTAACTTTTTATAGTTAATTATCATTGACGCGCAGTTAAGTTAATTTTCTTTTCGAGTCATGCGTAATCAATCAGGCAATACTGATTCGTCGACTTTTTTACGATTTTTGTAATTTATTTTCGAATTATATATATTATAATAATTTAATTTTTTACACAGTGTTAAATGTCTTGGTAAATATTTGTGTATAACAAAATACTAAGGTAGTTTATGACTTAAAAATATTATACTTACCTTCAAAAATAATAAATTTTTTAACTGTGATAAGTTAATTTTATTTTCTATCTTAACTTTAAACTTATCTAGTTAAATTTTTTCTTTGTTAACTTTTAAAGCAATTTAATTTAATTAACTTGACTTGCTACAATTAATTATTTTCATTAACTTGCCCACTATTGGTTGTAGGAATATAAGCTATTTAGCTATAATAATAGGAAAAAAATCATAAAATTAATTTAAATGTTTTTAAAATATCATTGTGACTTTAAACTTTGTCTGTATAAAATAAAATCACAACAAAAACCCTTCGTAAACTAATTGTAAAAATGGCTAAGTAAAAAAAAATATAAGATCTTTAAGCACTATAAAGATGTGATATCAATATATCATGAATAAATGCCAAGTTTATTGAGTTTAAGTAAACTTATTTTGTTTCAATAATTTATTTACTTGGTGAGGAATTATTTCTTTAAAGAAACAAAGTGTGATAAACAAAATTATTAAATGGCAAAGGAGTGAAGGACGTTAATATTATTTTAAAAATATTATTATTAATATTTATATTTTATATACTATTCCAAATAATTCCTCTCCAAGCAAATAAATTATTGAAACAAAATAAGTTTACTTAAATTCAATATACTTAGCATTTATTCATGACATATTTATATCACATCTTTATAGTGCTTAAATAATGAATATTTTTTTTACTTAGCCATTTTTACACATAGTTTATTAAATATCGTTATTAAATATTGAGTATTTACACAAAAATCTATAAGAACGGTAATATAGTTGGTAACATAGGCAACGCTGATGCGACGACGACGACGACGGTTACCGTAATTCTGAATTTAATATAAATTTCCATTAAAAAGTTAGCACTTTTTCATTTATAACTTAATTTTTAAAAGCACGATTTTCATGATTTTTACAAAAGCACGTTTTACACAATATTTCTGATGTTTTGGAGTTTACTAGGAGTTAATTGATGCATTAGAAAATTAGTTATGTCGTATAACAAATTTACCTGTATTTTACACAGTTTAAATAGGCAACTCCTGCTCCGATATAGGTACTACACACACCTACGTGCAGTTATTTTTTTTTTTACTTCACTAGCGCCACCACCATGGCGCTAGATAATAAAATAATATTATATAAAAGTTTCAAATCTCTAAGAAAAATATTTTTAAATAAAAACCAAAAAACTAACATCGTTACATATTCTTTTGTTTAAATATCTAATTGCTTCAAAATGTGAACTTAAAATTTCTATGAAAATTAAATATTTTATATATTTTTATCTACAAAATAATTTACAAATTTTGTTAATTCTGACATATTTTTCTTAAAAAATAAATCTTGTGTTAAAAGTTTTATGAATACATAAACATTGCATAGTAAAATGTAGGACAAATTTTGATTATA